GAGCCATACCCGCAAGCCGGAGGCGCAGTGAAGCAACCCTCTCGTTCACCGGGGTAAACTCCAACACATGGCGGCTAAGCGGGGGAGCTATGAGCAAGCCCACACCAGCCCGCCGCCTCTCACTGCGGGCAACTCCAGAGTGGTAGAGAGTCCAGCCTTTCTCAAGGAGTAAAGTTCCAGAGCCCAAGCTGTGCATGGAGGTGAGCCCGACTATATCTAGCCGGTACCTCTCAACCTCCTGCACAAGCTCGGAGACCCTACCAGGGACATATAGCCCCCGACAACATAGCTCCTAGGATCACTCGGGTACTCGAATCCCTCCACCACAATAAGGTGGCGGTTCAAGGAGAGGGGAGAAGTTTGTAGAAACATTTCACTTTGACAAGAGGTTTTTTGCAAAAAAAAGAAATTGTCAAGAAAGCCAATTGACGATATTGACGATCTATATATCCACAGTAAAACAAGTCTTATATCAACAATCTTGAAAGGCTGATCAGCAAGGAAGAAGCCACGGATCAAGGACCACCATAACAATAAAGGCAGACTGCAGTTTCTGATTAAACAAAAATTAACAGTTTGGCCATAATGGCCATCGTGGAGGAAAAAGGGGGAAGCTTGCAAGCCGAAGAACACCATCCCAACCGTGAAGAACAGGGGTGACAGCAGCATGTTGTGGGGGTGCTTTGTTGCAGGAGGGACTGGGACACTTAAAATGGATGGTATTATGAGGAAGGAAGATAATGTGGATATACTGAAGCAGCATCTCAAGACATCAGCTAGGAAGTTATTGCTTTGTTGTAAATGGATCTTGTCCAAATTCACCATGACCCCAAGCATATTTCCAAAGTTGTGGCAAAATGGCTTAAGGACAACAAAGTCAAGGTATTGTAGTGGCCATCACAAAGCCCTGACTTCAGTCCAATACAAAATTTGTGGGCAGAACTAAAAAAAAAAAAAAAAGTGTGCATGGGCAAGGAGGCCTACGAACCTTACTCAGTTCCATTAGTTCTGTCTGGAGGAACTGGCAGAAATTCCAGCAACTTATTGTAAGAAACCTATGGAAGGCACCCTGAAACATTTTACCCATGTTAATCAGTTTAAAGGCAATGCTGCCAAATACTAACCAAGTGTATGTAAACATCTAACCCACTGGGAATGTGATTAAAGAAATAAAAACTGAAATCTTATTCTCTACTATTATTCTGACATTTCACATTCTTAAAATAAAGTAGTGATCTAACTGGCCTAAGACTGGGAATGTTTATAGGATTAAATGGGGAGCATTGGTGCACAACTATTTTCAAGTCTCTCCAGGGATGTTCTGTTGGGTTCAGGTCCGAACTCTTGATGGGCCACTCCAGGACTTTCACAGACATTTCCTGAAGCCACTCCTGTGTATTCTTAGCAGTATGGTTTGGGTTGTTGTCTTGTTGAGAAATAACCACCTGAGCTCCTGGGCACTCTGGAGAAGGTTTTTATTCAAAATTGGTCTATATTTTTCTGCATCCATCCTTTGCTATATCCTCACTAGTACCAGAGACAGAAAAAACATCCCTACAGTATGATGCTGCCACCACCGTATTTGACTGTAGGGATTGTATGCCTACATATATTAGGGCCTAAGAACATTGAGAATTGATGTCTATGTAAACATTTTCACTGTTTACTGTGTGTATTCCCTGTCAGGACCTGGTCGTGACAGCTGCCTTTGCCTTTTTATGGCTTGTGTCCTCATCAGCTTGGGGCAAAGGGCTGACAGATGTCAAGTGGGCCACTAACCCCAAGCACCTCGTGGCTCAATGCACGAACATCTGTAAACCAGGAGAATTCCCTTCCATGGGCCGCCTCAATGCCTCTGTGGTAAGTGAAATCAGTGCACTGCTACAGACCTACCTTACCTACCTCCTCCTTAAGGGACCCAATATTTTCAGTGGCCATTTTGATCCTACAGGATCAAAAGTATTCTATAAATTTTTATAATTTTAGAGAACTTGTTCATCCCACCTTAGAGCTACAAATCAATGGATATTTAATCATTTTCTTTAAAATAATATGTAAGTTGCTGACTTTCCTGCTTTAGATTGTTATTAGTTATTTACCACAACAAAGAGGGTTGTTTACGGATAAATGGTCTCGATGCTGACTGCACCTTCTCCATAAAAATACCCAGACTATGACGGCAAACTTAACAGCACTGCCAAAACATTGCCTAGACTATTTTTGCAACCATGTCCATCCATCCATCCATATACCTCTGCTTATCCGGAACCGGGTCACGGGGGCAGCAGTCTAAGCAAAGATGCCCAGACTTCCCTCTCTCCAGACACTTACTTCAGCTCCTCTGGGGGAATGCTGAGGCATTCCCAGGCCAGCCGAGAGACATCGTCCCTCCAGCGAGTCCTGGGTCTCTTAGGAAGGCGCCCAGGAGGCATCCAAAACAGATGCCTGAGCCACCTCCGTTGGCTCCTCTCGATGTGGAGGAGCAGCGGTTCTACTCTGAGCTCTTCCCGGGTGATTGAGCTCCTCACCCTATCTCTAAGGGTGCGCCCGGCCACCCTGCAGAGGAAGCTCATTTTGGCCGCCTGTATCCAGGATCTTGCCCTTTTGGTCATGACCCAAAGTTCATGACCATAGATGAGAGTCAGAACGTAGATTGACCAGTAAATCGAGAGCTTCGCCTTACAGCTCAGCTCCTTCTTCACCATGACGGACCGGTACATCGACCGCATTACTGCAGAAGCTGAACCGATCCGCCTGTCAATCTCCTGTTCCATCCTACCCTCACTCGTGAACAAGACCCCTAGATACTTGAACTCCTCCACTTGAGGCAGGAACTCTCCACCAACCTGAAGGGAACAAGCCACCTTTTTCCAGCTGAGAACCATGGCCTCGGACTTGGAGGTGCTGATTCTCATCCCAGCCGCTTCACACTCGGCTGCAAACCGCCCCAGTGCATGCTGGAGGTACTGGTTTAATGGAGCCAACAGGACAACGTCATCTGCTGCTGATCATAGCTGGTGCTGTCAGAACGCACCGGAATGACGCTCCACTCCACCATTTTTTATTCCAAGAGAGGGAAAAGAATATTTGCATAATCTGATTGAAATTCATTGTGTTGCACTTTTGTGAGTCCTTGAAGATCTAATCATCAGTAAAATCTGTGTCCTGCAAAATAGAATGGTCTAAGTTCTAATATTAAAATTTTAAGTATGGTGATTGATTCACCGCATCCACTCAAACAATGGGTTCGCTCCAATGCACAGAATTGGTACATGTGAGTGTTTGTTTTGTCAGGTCACATACAGTATATGATAACAAGGATGGTTCACAGCAGCACAGGTTAGCGTCAACTACAGACCCCATTTACAAAAGACAAGTGGCAAAATCATATTACTGCTTAAATGCAAACTTCTCAAACATCCATCTATTATTTATACCGCTTATTCCTGAATAGGGTCGTGGGGGGAATGGAGCCAATCCCAGCTGACATTGGGTCCACCCTGGACAGGTCACCAGCCTATCACAGGGCTGACACGTAGACAAACAACCCAAACACTCACATTCACTCCTATGGGCAATTTAGAGGCGCCTATCAACCTAAGGTGCATGTCTTTGGACTTTGGGAGGAAGCCAGAGAAAGCCCACGCAGACACAGGGAGATCGTACAAACCCCAACCCCGAGTTGGCCCAGACCCCCCTGGTTATGAGGCAACAACGCTAACCGCTGTGCTGCCCCCTTCTCAAACAGCTCAGTAGAAATGAAAAATAATTTTCACTTTTCTATTCTTTCATTGGAAATTTCATGGATAGAAAATTGAGAATTAGAGTCCAAAATCTTAGTTTTACACTGGTTTAACAATTGAAAAATACAATTTAGAAAACTAAATTCAGTTTTCCAATTTTCACTTTGTCACTTCTCAAATAAGGGGTTTTTCCATTATAGGAATTTGTCAAGCTGATTAACGCTTGTCATGAATTCTGTTTGTTTCCACTGCTGTGTGCCCACTTTGGAGCCTCAGTCATTAGCATTACAAGCACAATATGTAAAGAAACACTTTTACTCGTTCAGAGGTAAAACGAGGACTTGTTGGTTTAGAGGTAAAACGGGGACTTCAGTGACTGGACCATGGGCAGAGCGGTGAAGATGTCACATTTCTGCAAGTCTGTGTACTTTATGTTCAACTGAGGAGACAGAGATCTGTCTGCATGACTGCGATGGACAGTGCTGTTCCAAATTGAACGAATCAGTGTATATACTAGTATCTTTAGCAGGTTCTCTATGAATCGGGTTTAAGCTGGTACATACTGACACCAGGAAATAGTCAAAGTCAAAGTGTTTGTCATATGCACAGTTAGGAAACGTGTTTCCCTGTACAATGAAATTCTTACTTTGCCGTCCACATGAATGCCACAAAAATACAAATGAAATGAAAAGTATATAAACAAGCAACACAAAATCTAAGGCACTTTAAGCAGCAAATGCAGCAATATAATAAAAATATGTAAGAATATAATAGAGAATGCTGCATGGGAGCAACATATGCAGCAGTCACACTTCTGAACCTCCGGCCATAGGGTAGGGAGGTGAACAGTCCGTGCTGGGGGTGGGTGGGATCTTTGAGGATGGAGGCAGCTTTCCTATGCTCCCTGCGATGGTAAATGCTCTGCAGAGAGGGCAGTGGAGTCCTGGTGATCTTCTCTGCAGTTGTTGATGGATACCCACATGGGAAACGTGGTGCCCACCGAAGCAGATGTGTTTGCGCGTTCCACTCTCAAATGCAGGCTTTTTCTTCGTTTTCTTCTTTTTTGTGTTTTTTTCTTTTTTTACTCTTTCTGCAGTGCACAAATGCCATGCACTGCTAATATACAACAGACAGGCATTGCTGGATATCGCCAACTCATACAGCCACTGGGAATTTACTGGTTTCATACCACCGGAGCTACAACTCATTGTCCGCTCCCGCAACGACGACGATAATTACAACCACCATCACCCCAGGGAGCCCCCGGAGCACCAGGCACAAGCGAGCAGGCTGAAATCAGGAGAGCGACCCGGAGACGGAGACGCAAGCGCAGGGGACTCCATGCTAGGCTAAAATCTCGTGCTACTTGACCGCCATTGCCCAGCCTCTTCCTAGCTAATGTACAGTCTCTGGAAAACAAACGGGATGAGCTAAGGGCTAGGATTATAGCACAACGCGAAATCGGAGAATGCTGTGCTCTAATTCTCACCGAGACTTGGCTTTCTGACAGAGTCCCAGATTCCGCGATTCAGCTACAAACACACTTTGTACATTGAGGTGACTGCACTGCTGCTTCGGGAAAGGTAAAAGGAGGTGGTGTGTGTGTTTATCAGTAACTCGTGGTGTGGAGATGTACAGACTGTTTATAAGCACTGTTCGCCAGATGTAGAGTTTTTATTGCTGAAATGCCAGCCCTATTATTTAGCAAGAGAGCATAGTACTGTGTTTCTGGCTGCTGTGTTTGTTAGCCCAAGAGCTAATCCCTCTGTGGCTCTCAGCAAACTCTATGATGTCATCAGCGCGGTAGAGACAGCACACCCAGATGCTGTATTTATCGCTGCTGGTGACTTTAACCAGTGCAATGTACAGACTGTACTTCCCAAATATTACCAACATGTGAACATTCCCACCCGGGGCAAGAACACTCTGGATCATGTTTACAGTAACATACAGGGTGCATACAGGGCTGCGCCCTGCCCCCACCTTGGACGCTCAGACCACATTTCTTTGTTCCTGTATCCAGCTTACAGACAAAGACTGAAACAAATAAACCCTGTCACCAAGCAAATTAAACTCTGGACCCCAGAGACTGAAGGCACCCTGCAGGACTGTTTCGCCCAGACAGACTGGGATGTGTTTAAAGCTTCAGCCACCTCGGAGGACTTTTCTGTCAGCATACAGCATTATGCTGAGTATGTGACCGGATACATTAGTACCTGTATCGACAACATTGTGCCCACCATACAAGTCAGGAGGTTCCCCAACCAGAAGCCCTGGATAAACAGTCAGCTACGCCACATGCTGCATGCTCGCTCTCATGCATTCAGATCAGGCGATGACACAGAGTAAAAAGCTGCAAAGTACAGACTGAGGAAAGCCATCACAGCAGCCAAGAGGCAATACAGAGAAAAGCTGAATGGCTTCTGTTCTACTGCTGACTCCGGACGGATGTGGCAAGGCCTGCAACACATCAGACTACAGGACCACCACCAGCATCGTCAGCTCCACAGACAGCCTGGTGGATGACCTCAACACCTTCTACACCCATTTTGAGCCCTCCAGCCACAACACAGAGAGGAGGCACACACTGAGACCACCCAACCCCCCACCTCCCCTCCACTAACTGTTTCACCAGGCCAGGTACGCACAGTCCTGAGGAAGATCAACCCTCGCAAAGCAGCAGGACTGGACAACATCCCTGGGAGGGCTCTCAGGGCATGTGCCAGCGAGCAGGCTGATGTTCTCACCACCATCTTCAATCTCTCCCTCAGCCAGAGCACCGTTCCCACATGCTTTAAGACCACAACCATCGTCCCCCTTCCCAAGAAGAGCCCGGTCACCTGCCTAAGCGACTACAGGCCAGTGGCACTCACCCCAATTATTATGAAGTGTTTTGAGACAGTGGTGTGGGCCCACATTCAGAGCAGTATACCGGGCAACAAGCTAACCCTGCACAGTCTCACAGAAGAGTGATTGAGGACAGCGTTAACCAACTTACCGGTAAAGAAAGTGGATATAGCACACTGCAATGGAAGGATTACAGCCTCCGCCAACTCTTCAACTGACCGGTAACATAGCTGAAAATTGGAGAAAATTCAGACAACGTTTTGACCTATA